GACAATTAGCAAGTTACAAATAAGACTCAACTCCTATTCCCTCAAGCTAGGGTTAAACCAAACACTTACCTCGATGCCTTGAACTCAACTCAAGCCTCAACTATGGCTTTACCTCGTAATTCCACCTCCAAACCGCTCGAATCTAGCCACAAATTACTTAATTACATTAATAAACACTAAATGAATCAATTTGAATGCATAAAAATGAATTTTCCAAAGTTTTTCCCAAAAATTCCAAAATTGCCCGGGCCCACATGGTCAAAACCCGAGGTTCGAACCAAAACCCGGTTACCCATTCCCCCACGAACTCAAATATGTAATTTATTTTAAAATCGGACCTCAAATCAAGGTCCAAATCCCCAATTTTTAGAAAATCTAGGTTCTACCCAAAAACCCCAATCTCACCCATGAAAATCCTTGATTTTAAGTGAAAAATATGTTAAATGATGTTAAAGATTGAAAGAATTGAGTAAAAATCGACTTACAGCTGATTTGGGATGAAGATTGTTCTTGAAAAATCGCCTATGGTGTTTGGGTTTTGAAAGAATGGTGAAAAGTGATGAAAATTCGGCTAAGTATAAAATTTGCTGGGCCTCGGATATGGGAATTGCGAACTGGGGTTCGCAATTGCGAACCCTGGCCTGCTAACTTGGGAATTGCGAACCTTAGTTCGCATTTGCGAACTCCCTCCAACTATAAAGGGTTCGCATTTAAGACCATGCAAGTCGCATTTGCGACTGCCCAGTTTTGGGAATTGCGAGCACAGCTTCGCATTTGCGAAGCCAGGCCATGAGGGGGACTTTCGCATTTGCGAAAAGGGCCACGCATTTGCGATCCCTAGCCCTTCGCATTTGCGAAGTTATCCTTCGCATTTGCGATCCCATACCGCACCTCCCTTTCCTCGCATTTGCGATCAGGGAGCCGCATTTGCGAACTCGCATTTGCAAGTATTTCTTCGCAAATGCGAAAACACCAGGACTGAGAAATACCAGATTTTTCAAAAAGAATGAGAAATGCAATCCGACACCTATCCAAAACTCACCCGAACCCTCGGGGCTCCAAACCAATTATGCACACAACCTTAAAACATCCTACGGACTTATCCGTGTGATCAAATCGCCAAAATAACATCATATACATCGAATCAAGCCTCAAAACTAATGTTTTTCTTTGAAATTTTCATAAAGCATCAAATTTCCATTTCAAGTCCGAAACACGTCAAACGACGTCCGTTTTCAACCAAATTTTACAGAAAGCGCTTAAACCATATATAAGACTTGTATCGGGCGTCGGAACCAAAATACGAGCCCGATACCACACTCTTTTAATCAAATTTCATTTCCAATTTCCTTAGTAATTTCATAAAAACAATTTCACAGAAAAATTCATTTCTCGGGCTCTAGACCTCGGAATTCGACTCCGGGCATATGCCCGAGTCCCATATTTTTCTACGGACCCTCCGGGGCCGTCAATCACGGATCCGGGTCCGTTTACCAAAAAATGTTGACCGAAGTCAAATATATTCATATTAATATCAAAATTTAGCATTTTTCACACAGAATTCATATTTAAGCTTTTCCGGCTACGCGCCCGGACTGTGCGCACAAATCGAGGCAACCCTAAATGAAGTTTTCGAGGCCTCGGAAGCACGGGATGAGTAAGAAAACAGGTGATGACCCTTTGGGTCGTCACATAAATAGGCACAGTTAATTGAGGGCCCTTCAGTCAACAGCAATAAGCATATAGTTGAACAAATAGAGAGAATACTATGGCGAATCTATATTAACGTAACAAGAAAATCATCCTCCAACAGGTTCCATCAAAACCCTAGATTAGGAGTTTAGCTACTCATACTCATAGTAACAATATCCAAAGTATTTTGCATAACTGAATTACAAAGTAAGGATAAAGGGATGTAGAAATCGATGATTCTAACTCCCAACAGGTGTTCCACGAGCTATCCTTGCCTCCGGTTGCAAAAGTCCTTCAAAGTGGCGTTTTTAGGTCTATTTATATGTTTAGGACTAGACCTAAACGTGTAGGTCAAATCCTAGTCAAGCCGGGAAACGAACTAAGTTTTTAAAATTCGGACTGGATCTCGCCCCAGGCCTGGCATCGCCAGGCATAACGCCTGGTGGACCTGGCCCCAGGCCTGGCGTCGCCAGGTCTAACGCCTAGTTATGCTTGGCCTTTGCCTTGCCTCGCCAGCCTCTCGCCAAGTACCAGCCTGGCGTCGCCAGGGATATTTCCAGCTTCAAGCCTGGCGTTGCCAGGTCCTCTCATTCACTGCTCCCACGCACGCTTTCGACTTGAAGGCTTCCTTTTTCCTTTACTTTCATCTCCAATTCACCTACACATAAAATGGACCTTATTACCGCGCAAATAAAATGTAGTTTATCATTAAAGCGTATAAAATGCAAGGTGAATAATGTGCTAAACAATGAATTCTAGCCACAAGTTACCAAGTTAGGCTATTTTATACAGCTATTTGTTCACTTTTTAATTATAGTGTAAAAAAGTTTTACACGTACTAATATTTTAACCTGATTTTGCCAACATATTTTATACCGTCAATACGGTTGTATATCCATAACACCCAACAATTAAATGGATAAAAGAAGTTTCTATTTCTAGACAATCAAAAAAAGGAATAGTAAAATTCCTTTTACTAGAGAAAGCGTACTAGCCATGTAATTTATAGTAACAAACAGATTGAAAATTGTAACAACACCTTGACCTATTACATACACTTGTATTACAAAGAGACAAATATTCTCCTTTAGACATTCTATTTTCTTGGATCGCCAAGTAAACTTCTCACTCCCTTTACAATATAAATACAACCCTACTTAAAGCATTTCATCTTCCTCATAATAAAACACCATTATCAAATTTTCCCTTTTCTTCCTTGAAAAATCAATAAAAATAGAAGAAAAAGGGAAATTAAAAGAATGGCTCTACATAACCAAATCTTGCTTCTCATTTCCCTTTCTTTTCTTGTTTTTCAACTCAACATAGCTACCCCTACCCCCATTTCTTACATTTCTTCATCACCAAATGGATCACCATCTTCTTTACCATCCACACAAAATCTTGAAATTCCAACAAACGATCAAGTTTCACTTGGAAACAAAGAATCTGTAAACCATTATGTTGATTCCTTAATGGAAAAAACAGTGTCTAAGACAGAAGATTTCATTGACAGCGTTGTCGAAAAACGATTGTCTGATCCAGCAGCTGATCCTTTTGCTAAAGATTGTCTTTTGGTATGCAAAGAAGTGTACGAGAATGCAGTTGATGCAATGAAAAAAACCATTGAAGATGTTAATAGAGGATCTTATTACAGTGCTAATGTTGATCTTAGTGCTTTGACTACTGATTTAGAGACTTGTATGGATTGTATTAAGGAGATATATGGTGATGATCAAGAATTCGTGTCATTTGATGATTGGGCAGGGAAAATTACTGAAGATGCCTTGGAAAAAATTGTTGGCTTTAGCAGTTAAATTATTAAATATTAACGGATTTAACTTATATGTATTGATAGTGTAAAAAAGTTTTTATATATCAGTGCATACAAGTTAAATTGCTACTTATAAGACTATTAATTCATAAAGATACAAAGTTTATATGGTTGTTTTTTATAGCTGGGGATTCAGGTGGTTTGGGTGGAATGTAATTAATTAATAAACTGGCTAATTTTGTTTTATGTAATTGTTAATAACGTGTTGGGTTTGGAATTCAGGGGAAAGAATTGGTCATGACTATTGGCTAGCTAATAACAGTACTATTGGTAACAATTTTGCTGTAATTTAATTTCTTCTTTGATTAATAATTTCTCAAATATATGTTTTAGCAATTTGGAATTCAAAATTGGTGTTAGATTATTTACACGTCATGCATTCCATATTTTGGAAGGATTTAATTTATATACATTAATAATTATAAATAAATTTTTATATTCTTAGCATGTTTTTTTTAACGTGTCATAATTGGTTACTTTTCAGGTACTAATCGTATTTTATATTGATGATTATATGCAGTAATTTTTTGAAAAATTAACCCAAATAGCCGCCCACCCAACTGCTTAAACTTAAAATAGCCATGGAAATATAATATATATGTATAATATGTGTTAATCAATATATAATCTACATATAAGGCTAGAAAAAATAAACAATGGACGATCTCCATTTCCATATGGCCACGTCCAGAAATGGTATGCCAACAAACACCTTTTCTTTATTGTATACTATAGTTAATAGAAGATAATTAACCTTATTTTGGAAAGATAAAAAAATCTCAACGTATGCTTTTATATGAAGCTAAAACAATATTGCCACAAGTGGAAGTATCTTTGATTTGTCACTCAAGTCTTAGCTTATAGTACCATTTTTCTTTCTTAAAGATCTACGTTGTCTTTCTTAAGATGTCTAAATTTAGAAATTTATTAGGTCACTTTAATAAAATAATATAAAGTTTCAAATGGTAGATATCGTGTTATTTACACAAAAGTTATCCCAGTATAACTTCTTCATAACATAAAATATCAAATTCTAATTAATTTTACCGATCAATATTAATTACAGTGCAAATATTTTGTTAAACTAATTACGGATAACGCGTGTACTAGGCTGATTGAACTTGGCAATGAAAATGCCCGAAGAGGCATTAATATGATTTGTAATAACTTTGACAATGTTAGTATTAATATAATATAACCCCATTCATAAAAATTTAAGTGTTTGTTTAATTTTTTTTAATTTATCTATAGTAAAAGAACAGTCTAATACACAAAATATTCCGTAATTTAATTCAACGTTGTGTGGGTGGGTGAGTTTGTGGGGCCAAAAAATTATATCCTTCAATAATAAATTAGAGAACTAGAATCTTTAAAAAGAAGTTATCAAATGCTGGTGAATATGCACTTAAAAATCTATATTTTAGCATAGCCAATGAAGCTAAAACTCGATTTTATGTATAAAATCAACCGAATGAATCTCAAATTTCCACCACTTTCTATTCTCCATTGTCTTTTTCATCTTCTTAGTTTCTCTTCTAAATTATAAAAGAAAGACAATGGCCTTTTGTACCCAAATATTTCTTGTCTTCGCCATTTCTTTCTTCCTTACAACCCTCCCCTCTAAGGCATACAAAAATTACCCCACTCCATCACCTGCCCTTTCCCCACAACAGTCTTCGTCCTCGTCCTCGTCCTCATCCTCGACCACGGCCTCATCTTCTGTCTCTGCCTCTGCCTCGACCTCGGCCTCTTCATTGTCAATCCTAACTGCCTCTGTAACCTCTGCAACAACTTTTGAAATTCCAAAAAACATCCCCGTTGTCTCAACGGGGGATGTCTCGATATTTGTAAAAGCTATCATGGACGCAACAATGTCCAAGACCGACGAATTTATTAGCAAAGTGATTGACAAACGTTTGGCTGAACCAAACACAGACATTTATGCTAAGGATTGTCTTGAGACATGCAAGTCTGTGTTTGAAGATGCAAAGGATGCAATGAAGAGGACTGAGGAAGATGTGAAAGCAGGAAATATGTACAAAGCGAATGTGGATGTTAGTGCCATGTCAACAAACATTGATACTTGCAATGAATGTGCTACTTCTATATATGGATTTGATCCTGAGTTCAAGAAATTTGACAATTGGGCACAAGGGATTGCTAGTGATTGCCTTGATAAGATTACTGGCCAAAGCAGTTAAATATTTCAAGAGTTTATTATCATTCCACTTCTATATGTTGTACTTTGGGCTGTAATCATGAAAAGATTTGGCGATGAATAATCTTTTAATCTACACGTGGAATTAATGAAGGAACAATATAATTAATAGTGTTTGATCTTTTAATGTGCTATTTTCAATCACTGGTGCCTTTTTTCTTTTTCCTTTTCTCGAGTGCCATGAATTTTTCACATCAATCCAGTTTAGGCAAAATTCTTTTTCCTAGGAATTTCCTCGAGAGAATAAAAGAAAGTACCAGTGTGAATGTTTGTCAACATAGAAAAATTTTATTTTGTGTCTCACACAACTGAGCCTCTTTTTTGTCTCACAATTGTGTGGTCCCAGGATTTTGTGGACCCAGATGTGTAAGAAATGGGTCCACAAATATGTGAGATAAAAAGAGGTCTCACACAATTAGTGTAAGTTGTGTGAGACACAAAATAAAATCACTTGTCAACATAGGCGGAGGCGCATTCGGCATACGTGTCAATGTTTCTCGGATGAGACATAGACTCCGACGCAGGCAAAAGTTTTTACAAGTGGTGCCGCATTTAAAAAATAAACAAATAAACGAATTACTGTAATGATACACATTAAAATAATACAAATTTGAATCTGATTAAAAAATGAATTCAAGTATATTGGAGTACTACAAACCCACTAGACAAGTTTTCGTTTTTTGAAATGTATTTAGAATATCCTTATTAAAACTAATACTAAATTTTCTATATATAACACTAAACAATCACTTAAAAACTTTCATTATTTGATTTGCAAATTGATTTGGACCAACTTCATCGTCCCCTAAGAAAAAGATAGAAAGAAAACGTACCATGAAACATACTTGGAGGAAAAATATTCTTAATGGAACACAAATTTTTAAGCAGAAAACGCATAAAAAAGTTTACTCGGTTTAATAGATGCTGCCGAAGTTTCGAACCCAGGACCTATCCAAAAGAATTAGGAACGCTTGACCAAGAGAGCTAGCGAAATCTCTCTGCCAATTAGTGTATTTTATCTTATATAACAAGATATACTTTGCACATCTTAATAATTTTCATATGTTTAGTGAATTTTTCCGCGAAGCGGTGTCGGATGACACCGCTTACACCAAGGTGCATCCGCCCCTGCTCCGACGTAGTTCAGTTACCTTATAGCTTGTTCGGTCAAGCTGCAAAAATAGCTTATTTTGAAAAATGCTATTTCTCAAAAGTATTTTTTTTCAAAAGTACTTTTAGTGAGAAACAGTTTGTTTTTGGCTAATTAATTTGAAAAGCACTTCTGAGTAGCAATTAGTGTTTGGCCAAACTTTTAAAAACTACTTCTAAGTGTATTTTTCTCAAAAGTACTTTTCAAAAAAATACTTTTGAATTCTCCAAAATTGTTTCTGCTTCTATTCAAAAGTATTTTTTTTCCTCTAAAAGCTTGGCCAAACACTTCAACTTTGGGAAAAAAAAAAGAAGTGCAATTGGCTTGGAGAAACTCGGCCAAAGAGGCTATTAGTATGACAAAAGATAATATTGTGATTTTACTATTATAATGACTAATAGCATATTTGGCCAAGCTGCAAAAATCAGCTTATTTTGAGAAGTGTTTTTTCTCAAAAGTACTTTAGGTGAAAAGCAGTTTGTGTTTTGATAATTAATTTGAAAAGCACTTCTGAGCAGCAATTAGTGTTTGGCCAAGCTTTTAAAACTGATTCTAAGTGTGTTTTTCTCAAAAGTGTTTTTGGAGATAAGCTACTTTTTTCTACTTCACCAAAACTGGTTCAGTTTCTCCTCAAAAGCACTTTTTCCTTCCAAAAGGTTGGCCAAGCACTTCAACTTTGAAAAAAAAATATTTTTTTTTCAAAAAAAGTGTTTCTAGGATTGGAGAAGCTAGGCCAAACAGGTTATAAAGTTGTAATGAGTATAGTTCAGTGACCTGGACCCTAAATGAAATTAACCAAAGATTACACCAAAAACTAATAACCATGTAAAATGATTTTTTTTGG